GCCAACGGACCCCTGCGCCCACACACCTCTGCCAACGGACCCCTACCTCTGCCAACGGACCCCAGTGCACAGGTAAGTGTCGGGGCACTGTAGCGGGGCACTACGGGCACTCCCGGCGGCCGGGGCAAACTGCGATCCCCTGTCCGTTTTTACTCGGGAGGAGCCCGATTTCCCGATAGAAATGACAATTTTGTCGACTGCGGCGCTCTCTCCCGGCGAGACGTCTATATCCCGGCCGGAGGCCGATTTCTGGGTAAATTTGCCGAAATTCCAGTGACGGTCGCGTTTCGGTGGGCGGCCCCCGGGCCCTCGGTGGGCGCTGTGCGTGTGTCCCAGGGTGTCCCCCGTGTGCTCCCGGTGCCCGTGAGCCGGCGGGGTCCCGGCAGCGACGACTGCGGGTGCGGGGAACAGCCTAGGCCCAGGCACCTCTGACAACGGACCCCCACCTCCGCCAACGGACCCCCACCTCCGCCAACGGACCCCTGCGCCCACACACCTCTGCCAACGGACCCCTACCTCTGCCAACGGACCCCAGTGCACAGGTAAGTGTCGGGGCACTGTAGCGGGGCACCACGGGCACTCCCGGCGGCCGGGGCAAACTGCGATCCCCTGTCCGTTTTTACTCGGGAGGAGCCCGATTTCCCGATAGAAATGACAATTTTGTCCACTGCGGCGCTCGCTCCCGGCGAGTCCTCTATATCCCGGCCAGAGGCCGATTTCTGGGTAAATTTGCCGAAATTCCAGTAACGGTCGCGTTTCGGTGGGCGGCCCCCGGGCCCTCGGTGGGCGCTGTGCGTGTGTCCCAGGGTGTCCCCCGTGTGCTCCCGGTGCCCGTGAGCCGGCGGGGTCCCGGCAGCGACGACTGCGGGTGCGGGGAACAGCCTAGGCCCAGGCACCTCTGGCAACGGACCCCCACCTCTGGCAACGGACCCCTGCGCCCACACACCTCTGCCAACGGACCCCTACCTCTGCCAACGGACCCCAGTGCACAGGTAAGTGTCGGGGCACTGTAGCGGGGCACCACGGGCACTCCCGGCGGCCGGGGCAAACTGCGATCCCCTGTCCGTTTTTACTCGGGAGGAGCCCGATTTCCCGATAGAAATGACAATTTTGTCCACTGCGGCGCTCGCTCCCGGCGAGTCCTCTATATCCCGGCCAGAGGCCGATTTCTGGGTAAATTTGCCGAAATTCCAGTAACGGTCGCGTTTCGGTGGGCGGCCCCCGGGCCCTCGGTGGGCGCTGTGCGTGTGTCCCAGGGTGTCCCCCGTGTGCTCCCGGTGCCCGTGAGCCGGCGGGGTCCCGGCAGCGACGACTGCGGGTGCGGGGAACAGCCTAGGCCCAGGCACCTCTGACAACGGACCCCCACCTCCGCCAACGGACCCCCACCTCCGCCAACGGACCCCTGCGCCCACACACCTCTGCCAACGGACCCCTACCTCTGCCAACGGACCCCAGTGCACAGGTAAGTGTCGGGGCACTGTAGCGGGGCACCACGGGCACTCCCGGCGGCCGGGGCAAACTGCGATCCCCTGTCCGTTTTTACTCGGGAGGAGCCCGATTTCCCGATAGAAATGACAATTTTGTCCACTGCGGCGCTCGCTCCCGGCGAGTCCTCTATATCCCGGCCAGAGGCCGATTTCTGGGTAAATTTGCCGAAATTCCAGTAACGGTCGCGTTTCGGTGGGCGGCCCCCGGGCCCTCGGTGGGCGCTGTGCGTGTGTCCCAGGGTGTCCCCCGTGTGCTCCCGGTGCCCGTGAGCCGGCGGGGTCCCGGCAGCGACGACTGCGGGTGCGGGGAACAGCCTAGGCCCAGGCACCTCTGACAACGGACCCCCACCTCCGCCAACGGACCCCCACCTCCGCCAACGGACCCCTGCGCCCACACACCTCTGCCAACGGACCCCTACCTCTGCCAACGGACCCCAGTGCACAGGTAAGTGTCGGGGCACTGTAGCGGGGCACCACGGGCACTCCCGGCGGCCGGGGCAAACTGCGATCCCCTGTCCGTTTTTACTCGGGAGGAGCCCGATTTCCCGATAGAAATGACAATTTTGTCCACTGCGGCGCTCGCTCCCGGCGAGTCCTCTATATCCCGGCCAGAGGCCGATTTCTGGGTAAATTTGCCGAAATTCCAGTAACGGTCGCGTTTCGGTGGGCGGCCCCCGGGCCCTCGGTGGGCGCTGTGCGTGTGTCCCAGGGTGTCCCCCGTGCGCTCCCGGTGCCCGTGAGCCGGCGGGGGGCCTGCAGCGACGACTGTGGGTGCGGGGAACAGCCTAGGCCCAGGCACCTCTGACAACGGACCCCCACCTCCGCCAACGGACCCCCACCTCCGCCAACGGACCCCTGCGCCCACACACCTCTGCCAACGGACCCCTACCTCTACCAACGGACCCCAGTGCACGGGCAGGGGTCGGGGCACTGCAGCGGGGCACTACGGGCACTCCCGGCGGCCGGGGCAAACTGCGATCCCCTGTCCGTTTTTACTCGGGAGGAGCCCGATTTCCCGATAGAAATGACAATTTTGTCGACTGCGGCGCTCGCTCCCGGCGAGACCTCTATATCCCGGCCGGAGGCCGATTTCTGGGTAAATTTGCCGAAATTCCAGTGACGGTCGCGTTTCGGTGGGCGGCCCCCGGGCCCTGGGTGGGCGCTGTGCGTGTGTCCCAGGGTGTCCCCCGTGTGCTCCCGGTGCCCGTGAGCCGGCGGGGTCCCGGCAGCGACGACTGCGGGTGCGGGGAACAGCCTAGGCCCAGGCACCTCTGGCAACGGACCCCCACCTCTGGCAACGGACCCCTGCGCCCACACACCTCTGCCAACGGACCCCTACCTCTACCAACGGACCCCAGTGCACGGGCAGGGGTCGGGGCACTGCAGCGGGGCACTACGGGCACTCCCGGCGGCCGGGGCAAACTGCGATCCCCTGTCCGTTTTTACTCGGGAGGAGCCCGATTTCCCGATAGAAATGACAATTTTGTCGACTGCGGCGCTCGCTCCCGGCGAGACCTCTATATCCCGGCCGGAGGCCGATTTCTGGGTAAATTTGCCGAAATTCCAGTGACGGTCGCGTTTCGGTGGGCGGCCCCCGGGCCCTCGGTGGGCGCTGTGCGTGTGTCCCAGGGTGTCCCCCGTGTGCTCCCGGTGCCCGTGAGCCGGCGGGGTCCCGGCAGCGACGACTGCGGGTGCGGGGAACAGCCTAGGCCCAGGCACCTCTGGCAACGGACCCCCACCTCTGGCAACGGACCCTCACCTCTGGCAACGGACCCCCACCTCCGCCAACGGACCCCTGCGCCCACACACCTCTGCCAACGGACCCCTACCTCTGCCAACGGACCCCAGTGCACAGGTAAGTGTCGGGGCACTGTAGCGGGGCACTACGGGCACTCCCGGCGGCCGGGGCAAACTGCGATCCCCTGTCCGTTTTTACTCGGGAGGAGCCCGATTTCCCGATAGAAATGACAATTTTGTCCACTGCGGCGCTCGCTCCCGGCGAGTCCTCTATATCCCGGCCGGAGGCCGATTTCTGGGTAAATTTGCCGAAATTCCAGTGACGGTCGCGTTTCGGTGGGCGGCCCCCGGGCCCTCGGTGGGCGCTGTGCGTGTGTCCCAGGGTGTCCCCCGTGCGCTCCCGGTGCCCGTGAGCCGGCGGGGGCCCGGCAGCGACGACTGCGGGTGCGGGGAACAGCCTAGGCCCAGGCACCTCTGGCAACGGACCCCCACCTCTGGCAACGGACCCCTGCGCCCACACACCTCTGCCAACGGACCCCTACCTCTACCAACGGACCCCAGTGCACGGGCAGGGGTCGGGGCACTGCAGCGGGGCACTACGGGCACTCCCGGCGGCCGGGGCAAACTGCGATCCCCTGTCCGTTTTTACTCGGGAGGAGCCCGATTTCCCGATAGAAATGACAATTTTGTCGACTGCGGCGCTCGCTCCCGGCGAGACCTCTATATCCCGGCCGGAGGCCGATTTCTGGGTAACTTTGCCGAAATTCCAGTGACGGTCGCGTTTCGGTGGGCGGCCCCCGGGCCCTCGGTGGGCGCTGTGCGTGTGTCCCAGGGTGTCCCCCGTGTGCTCCCGGTGCCCGTGAGCCGGCGGGGTCCCGGCAGCGACGACTGCGGGTGCGGGGAACAGCCTAGGCCCAGGCACCTCTGGCAACGGACCCCCACCTCTGGCAACGGACCCTCACCTCTGGCAACGGACCCCCACCTCCGCCAACGGACCCCTGCGCCCACACACCTCTGCCAACGGACCCCTACCTCTGCCAACGGACCCCAGTGCACAGGTAAGTGTCGGGGCACTGTAGCGGGGCACTACGGGCACTCCCGGCGGCCGGGGCAAACTGCGATCCCCTGTCCGTTTTTACTCGGGAGGAGCCCGATTTCCCGATAGAAATGACAATTTTGTCCACTGCGGCGCTCGCTCCCGGCGAGTCCTCTATATCCCGGCCGGAGGCCGATTTCTGGGTAAATTTGCCGAAATTCCAGTGACGGTCGCGTTTCGGTGGGCGGCCCCCGGGCCCTCGGTGGGCGCTGTGCGTGTGTCCCAGGGTGTCCCCCGTGCGCTCCCGGTGCCCGTGAGCCGGCGGGGGCCCGGCAGCGACGACTGCGGGTGCGGGGAACAGCCTAGGCCCAGGCACCTCTGGCAACGGACCCCCACCTCTGGCAACGGACCCCTGCGCCCACACACCTCTGCCAACGGACCCCTACCTCTACCAACGGACCCCAGTGCACGGGCAGGGGTCGGGGCACTGCAGCGGGGCACTACGGGCACTCCCGGCGGCCGGGGCAAACTGCGATCCCCTGTCCGTTTTTACTCGGGAGGAGCCCGATTTCCCGATAGAAATGACAATTTTGTCGACTGCGGCGCTCGCTCCCGGCGAGACCTCTATATCCCGGCCGGAGGCCGATTTCTGGGTAACTTTGCCGAAATTCCAGTGACGGTCGCGTTTCGGTGGGCGGCCCCCGGGCCCTCGGTGGGCGCTGTGCGTGTGTCCCAGGGTGTCCCCCGTGTGCTCCCGGTGCCCGTGAGCCGGCGGGGTCCCGGCAGCGACGACTGCGGGTGCGGGGAACAGCCTAGGCCCAGGCACCTCTGGCAACGGACCCCCACCTCTGGCAACGGACCCTCACCTCTGGCAACGGACCACCACCTCCGCCAACGGACCCCTGCGCCCACACACCTCTGCCAACGGACCCCTACCTCTGCCAACGGACCCCAGTGCACAGGTAAGTGTCGGGGCACTGTAGCGGGGCACTACGGGCACTCCCGGCGGCCGGGGCAAACTGCGATCCCCTGTCCGTTTTTACTCGGGAGGAGCCCGATTTCCCGATAGAAATGACAATTTTGTCCACTGCGGCGCTCGCTCCCGGCGAGTCCTCTATATCCCGGCCAGAGGCCGATTTCTGGGTAAATTTGCCGAAATTCCAGTAACGGTCGCGTTTCGGTGGGCGGCCCCCGGGCCCTCGGTGGGCGCTGTGCGTGTGTCCCAGGGTGTCCCCCGTGTGCTCCCGGTGCCCGTGAGCCGGCGGGGTCCCGGCAGCGACGACTGCGGGTGCGGGGAACAGCCTAGGCCCAGGCACCTCTGGCAACGGACCCCCACCTCTGGCAACGGACCCTCACCTCTGGCAACGGACCACCACCTCCGCCAACGGACCCCTGCGCCCACACACCTCTGCCAACGGACCCCTACCTCTGCCAACGGACCCCAGTGCACAGGTAAGTGTCGGGGCACTGTAGCGGGGCACTACGGGCACTCCCGGCGGCCGGGGCAAACTGCGATCCCCTGTCCGTTTTTACTCGGGAGGAGCCCGATTTCCCGATAGAAATGACAATTTTGTCCACTGCGGCGCTCGCTCCCGGCGAGTCCTCTATATCCCGGCCAGAGGCCGATTTCTGGGTAAATTTGCCGAAATTCCAGTAACGGTCGCGTTTCGGTGGGCGGCCCCCGGGCCCTGGGTGGGCGCTGTGCGTGTGTCCCAGGGTGTCCCCCGTGCGCTCCCGGTGCCCGTGAGCCGGCGGGGGCCCGGCAGCGACGACTGCGGGTGCGGGGAACAGCCTAGGCCCAGGCACCTCTGGCAACGGACCCCCACCTCTGGCAACGGACCCTCACCTCTGGCAACGGACCCCCACCTCCGCCAACGGACCCCTGCGCCCACACACCTCTGCCAACGGACCCCTACCTCTGCCAACGGACCCCAGTGCACAGTTAAGTGTCGGGGCACTGTAGCGGGGCACTACGGGCACTCCCGGCGGCCGGGGCAAACTGCGATCCCCTGTCCGTTTTTACTCGGGAGGAGCCCGATTTCCCGATAGAAATGACAATTTTGTCCACTGCGGCGCTCGCTCCCGGCGAGTCCTCTATATCCCGGCCGGAGGCCGATTTCTGGGTAAATTTGCCGAAATTCCAGTGACGGTCGCGTTTCGGTGGGCGGCCCCCGGGCCCTCGGTGGGCGCTGTGCGTGTGTCCCAGGGTGTCCCCCGTGTGCTCCCGGTGCCCGTGAGCCGGCGGGGTCCCGGCAGCGACGACTGCGGGTGCGGGGAACAGCCTAGGCCCAGGCACCTCTGGCAACGGACCCCCACCTCTGGCAACGGACCCTCACCTCTGGCAACGGACCACCACCTCCGCCAACGGACCCCTGCGCCCACACACCTCTGCCAACGGACCCCTACCTCTGCCAACGGACCCCAGTGCACAGGTAAGTGTCGGGGCACTGTAGCGGGGCACTACGGGCACTCCCGGCGGCCGGGGCAAACTGCGATCCCCTGTCCGTTTTTACTCGGGAGGAGCCCGATTTCCCGATAGAAATGACAATTTTGTCGACTGCGGCGCTCGCTCCCGGCGAGACCTCTATATCCCGGCCGGAGGCCGATTTCTGGGTAAATTTGCCGAAATTCCAGTGACGGTCGCGTTTCGGTGGGCGGCCCCCGGGCCCTGGGTGGGCGCTGTGCGTGTGTCCCAGGGTGTCCCCCGTGCGCTCCCGGTGCCCGTGAGCCGGCGGGGGCCCGGCAGCGACGACTGCGGGTGCGGGGAACAGCCTAGGCCCAGGCACCTCTGGCAACGGACCCCCACCTCTGGCAACGGACCCTCACCTCTGGCAACGGACCCCCACCTCCGCCAACGGACCCCTGCGCCCACACACCTCTGCCAACGGACCCCTACCTCTGCCAACGGACCCCAGTGCACAGTTAAGTGTCGGGGCACTGTAGCGGGGCACTACGGGCACTCCCGGCGGCCGGGGCAAACTGCGATCCCCTGTCCGTTTTTACTCGGGAGGAGCCCGATTTCCCGATAGAAATGACAATTTTGTCCACTGCGGCGCTCGCTCCCGGCGAGTCCTCTATATCCCGGCCGGAGGCCGATTTCTGGGTAAATTTGCCGAAATTCCAGTGACGGTCGCGTTTCGGTGGGCGGCCCCCGGGCCCTGGGTGGGCGCTGTGCGTGTGTCCCAGGGTGTCCCCCGTGCGCCCCCGGTGCCCGTGAGCCGGCGGGGGCCCGGCAGCGACGACTGCGGGTGCGGGGAACAGCCTAGGCCCAGGCACCTCTGGCAACGGACCCCCACCTCTGGCAACGGACCCCTGCGCCCACACACCTCTGCCAACGGACCCCTACCTCTGCCAACGGACCCCAGTGCACAGTTAAGTGTCGGGGCACTGTAGCGGGGCACTACGGGCACTCCCGGCGGCCGGGGCAAACTGCGATCCCCTGTCCGTTTTTACTCGGGAGGAGCCCGATTTCCCGATAGAAATGACAATTTTGTCCACTGCGGCGCTCGCTCCCGGCGAGTCCTCTATATCCCGGCCGGAGGCCGATTTCTGGGTAAATTTGCCGAAATTCCAGTGACGGTCGCGTTTCGGTGGGCGGCCCCCGGGCCCTGGGTGGGCGCTGTGCGTGTGTCCCAGGGTGTCCCCCGTGCGCCCCCGGTGCCCGTGAGCCGGCGGGGGCCCGGCAGCGACGACTGCGGGTGCGGGGAACAGCCTAGGCCCAGGCACCTCTGGCAACGGACCCCCACCTCTGGCAACGGACCCTCACCTCTGGCAACGGACCCCCACCTCCGCCAACGGACCCCTGCGCCCACACACCTCTGCCAACGGACCCCTACCTCTGCCAACGGACCCCAGTGCACAGGTAAGTGTCGGGGCACTGTAGCGGGGCACTACGGGCACTCCCGGCGGCCGGGGCAAACTGCGATCCCCTGTCCGTTTTTACTCGGGAGGAGCCCGATTTCCCGATAGAAATGACAATTTTGTCCACTGCGGCGCTCGCTCCCGGCGAGTCCTCTATATCCCGGCCGGAGGCCGATTTCTGGGTAAATTTGCCGAAATTCCAGTGACGGTCGCGTTTCGGTGGGCGGCCCCCGGGCCCTCGGTGGGCGCTGTGCGTGTGTCCCAGGGTGTCCCCCGTGTGCTCCAGGTGCCCGTGAGCCGGCGGGGGCCCGGCAGCGACGACTGCGGGTGCGGGGAACAGCCTAGGCCCAGGCACCTCTGGCAACGGACCCCCACCTCCGGCAACGGACCCCCCCTCGGCTGGGGCATCGGGGGCGGCTGACAGCCCCGGTGAGGTTGCCGCCCACCAATGCTGGTGGGATATCGTTTGTGGGTAGGGGGGTGCACGCGGTGAGGGGGGCAGGGGGCGGCCCCTCTTGTCGTGTGGGGTGGCTACCGGGGGGGAGGAGGGGGTTGCGCGCGGAGGGCCGGAATTTTGTCTGTTACGTAACATGGTGCTTATGGGACAGTGCAGCCGGCAGTCTACATAAAACGCGCCGACACGTATATATGTGGGGGAGTAGGTTCGTGCTGGAACAGGCCACTAGTCGGACTTCATCGACAGGGTTCGTCCCGGGTGAGGCGAGACTTTAACAGCCTGGTGGCGCAACCTATGATCCCACCGGCGGATGGGGAACTCGGATCGGGCTCGAGCGGACACCGCTTTGGGTCTCATGGACTGGGTTTTTTCCCGTGTGGGGCCGACCTTTAGCAACGAGTGCGATGGCCCTTTCTGTCTGGACCTGCATCCGCCGAACTCCTGGCATCGACTGGCTCCTGAGGTCGTGTGTGGTTTCGTTCTTCCGACTTGACCTCCCGGCAGTAGTCTGGCAGCATCTGCATGGTGATAACTCTCGCCCCGTAGAGGATGGACGCTGAGTAGTACGTTGTCCGAAGCGCGCCGCGCGAGTCGCGAGCTGACGTATGGAGAGCATCCTCTCTCTCTCTCTCTCTCTCTCTCTCTCTCTCTCTCTCTCTCTCTCTCTCTCTCTCTCTCTCTCTCTCTCTCTCTGTGTGTGTGTGTGTGTGTTTACATAAATAGAGTTGATCTTGTTGGCGGGCAAGATTGTCCGGCGGTAAGGGTGAGAAACAAAAAGACTTAACAGGAAAGGGGTGAGTGCTTTGGTGTGCGTGCGTGTAAGCGTGCATGTGTTAGCATACGTGTGTGTGTGTGTGTGTGTGTGTGTGCGCGTGCGTGTGTGTGTGTGCACGCACCCGCGTGTGTTTGTATGTATGTGTGTGTGTGTCTGTGTACGTGTGTGTGTGTGTGTGTGTGTGTGTACGTGTGTGTGTGTGTGTTTATGTCTGTCTGAAAAGCACCAAGACAGAACGGTGTCGTGTCATGACGAAACTTGAAAATAAAGCTGCAGAGGACCGGGCTCTCGACCAATCAGCTGCGACTCGACCCTGAATGGACCAATGGTGCGGCAGGGCACCCTTGGCGCCAAGATTCTCGGTCGTGGTCCCCTATATAAGCCTCCGCTGTTGACGGGAACTTCTAAGTATCACATCGCTGGTGGAGTGATGAAACCTCGTAACCCCAGAAAGGAAAATTTTACAGGAGAGACAAAAAACTGATTTACTCGTGAATAAAAATACCTATATTAACCAAAGTTGGTACAGATAGATAAAAACATGTTAGAAACGTGGTTAGTACATAAAAATAACTTTTCTATTGTTTATGTGGTTACGCTGTGGGATGCGAGGTTTCATTACAACATTTTTGTCGTGATGAAACCACGTATTCAGCCGGCGGGAGGGTTGCGAGGTTTCATCAGGACAAAGTTTGAGGGTTGCGAGTTTTCTCGCTGCTCATTTTGGTTGCAGTATGCGTCTGTTGTTTGAAACGCCACAAAGTGATAAAGATGTTTATTCGAAACCAATTGGTTTGGAGTTCGATTCCCGGCCAACTGAAGTCAAATAAATGTGTGTTACCTGCAGAATTTATGTTTGAATCCTCAAACGGATTGCAATTAATGCAATTTGTTTCAGTATAATTTGCCAAGATTAGATCTGGTTACTTTCAGTTTTAATAAAATGCTCAAAATAATAATAAATCTCTGCAATATGGTCTCTGTTTGCACTACAGATGATTTTCATAAGAGATGTTGAATCATAATTAACAACCATTAATGTTAATGGTATAAATTGTCATGAAGTGACGATGCATATTGGCAATAACAGATTTAAGCACCTGTAGGTGATTGTACTTAAACGTTTTGTGTGGAGTGGTGAGGTAGGATAGACCTTATGTTTCTGTGTCCTTCGGAACGGCAGCCCATTCATATTTGAGGTGCATCTTGAACTGGATGTTCATGTCTGGGATGTACTTCAAACACCTGACAATAGGATCACCCGTTTTTCTACCTAGTTTTATACACTTTGTCGTAGCTTCCACACTTAGAATATTCCTTGAAGGATGTGTGATCCGAATATTTGTTTTGATAAGTTTCTTGTTTTGCTCTTGCCATCATGAAGAAATGGAGGTAGTCTTGGAGGACCTCGATGCACGTTTTTCGAAGCGATCTCTTAATAGCTGAGTTCACACTGTTAATTTCCATTTGTGTTTGTAATTTGATATGTTTTTGTTCAATTGTGCTTCCATGTGTTGTTGAAAACAGGCTGAGAGAAACATTTTCAAGTGTGGCATTTCTGTATTGGTAACCACAGTTGTCGCTGTCGATAATGGTTTTCTGGAAGTCCAGCTTTTCCTTCAGGAAATCCAATAGACATGAAGCTAACTCATTTGCCATAAGTCCCCCTTCTGCTTCATGACCCACGTAAAAAAGTAGTCTGACGTGTTGCAGCATACAATAGCGTAAAGTTATGAACGGCGAGTTTCGTTTTGTAATGTAAGGCTGATGCTGAAGATCCATTGAAAGTACGGCCGTTTTAGGTTCATCACTGGCTAGAGATTTGATGGCTTCAGATTTATCTCCTTCCTTTTCTTTGCGCTCTGCCTCCTTTTCTAGAATGTGAGCATTCCAAAGATCCTCCAGCCCATTGTCAACTTCACGACTGATGCAAAGGTCGCGCATAATATCTGTCTTTGACATGAGCAGCGACAGGTTATTCTGCTTGAATGCTTCATCCAGGCCGGGTCTGTTGAGAGGCCGCCTCCCGTGGTCTAGGGAGAATTGCATATTTTGTAGATACCTGAGTTGCTTTGATAATTATATTGGTTCTTAGTTTCTTACAAATCACTCATCCAACCCAGTTCAATTCAGGAACATCTTTTAACACACTGGCACCTTATGGCCACCTTTTAAAATTGTTTATTGAAGGTATTCCCTATCTGTTTAGTCTCTGAATATACCTCCTCTGAGGTCCACTAGTCATCCCACGAAAGGGTCCACACTAAATCAAAATTAGAATGTCTATCAACTTCAGAGAGCCCTTTACTTTTCAGAGTCCAGCTCTTGCAATCCCAGTTTGGTTTCAATAACCTAGCTGGGATTTTCATTGATCCTTTAGATCCTTTACGTATTCCGATCCCGTCCTGATCCACGGATAGCTTTTCGCTTATTTGTTGCCACTCCTAAAAACCCTTTCTTTTCCTCTGTTGAGCATCATTTATGCTGGCATCACAAATGAGCTCGGGATCAGGCTCCAGGGAAAGTGGCTAAGGTGCCTGAATATGGTTTACAGATCGTGTTGCTGTGACCTTGAAGGTAATAATTCAGCATCTGACTTACAGCTGCCTAGTGAGACGTCAGTATGGTTTGGGGTATGATTCCAGGCGACAACGGTGTTGGTGCAGACTCAGTCTGGGATGAAGCTGATACTTCATTATCTCCGCATATCAGGGACAGCCCTGGAAAGGACTGCGACATGGTGGGTGGGGTCAATTCATGGAACGTGGTCTGCTCAGTGGTTTCCAAACCAGCCTTTGTAGGGTATAAATATCTAGGTGATGAACACAGTTAGAAGGAGATATTCAATACAGATTCGGAAATGTCCGTATTACTTGTGTTGTTGAGGCACAAATTTGTCACAATATCCTCTAAAGACTTTAGAGTCATCAAGACCACGGTTACGTTCAGTACTATTCGGTCTCAACCACAACTGGAGGATTCGACTACACAGCGGATTCATAGTCTGAGACTCCCCCGGGGCGGTGCCACTGACAGAAATGTCTTTAGGCCATTACCAAAAAGGGGGGGGGGAGACATTTTTTGTTCTAGTGCACAGTAGAATTGTAAATGGACTGATCTAACAATGTCATGCTCATAACTGTGCCTGAACTACAACAGGGAACTGCTGCTTTTTCTGTCCTAATCCTTACTATCGTCATTTTCCTCTACTTCTTTTGCATGTTTGTCACACTCTTGGGACCCGCTATTTCCGGGGTGCCTTGATTGTCAAAGCAGACTTTATGCTGCTGAAGCTAGAGAGGCGAGCAGAGTAAATCTGATTCCTTGTAAGGACTTCTCTGTTGACATTCAACCCATGGCGCTCGTATGACCGTATGCAGTTGCGGGCGCCGTAAAACCTGTACTAAAACTAAAAATAGTCTGAGAAGATGCGAAACCTTACCCTCTCTTTGATAAACAGATTGGCCTGTTGACATCAGGAGAGTGCACAGATCTGTCACCTTATGGCCACCTGTCATTTCAAGGTGTGACTGTTGCCTTAACTTAAATGTTAACTACGTTTGTGCTCGATGAGAACATCTTGATTACCAGCACGTTAGTCATCCTAATGAATGGATTTTTAATATATTTACACAATATAAGTACTTCACTTATGACCATATTTGAACTTCTGAACTGACTGAAATAAAGTGAATGAATAAAAGAATGAATGAATGTAAGGATGAATAAATGAATGAAATATTTATCCAGAACCTCGTATAAGCACGCCGCTCTCTCAAACCGGGAGTGATGAAACCACGCAAAAGCAGATCGGCGCACCGGATGAGGGTTGCGAGGTTTCATCACGCCAGGATATCATGGGGGCAAACATACGAGGTTTTGTTATTAAGTTTTTTTCATACTTTCTCTTACTAATTTAACCTTGTGCTTTTGACACATTGTGAAGAAGGACTGGGAGAAGACATTAAGCCAAAAAAACGAATTTCGAAAAAATTGAGGGTTACGAGGTTTCATCACTCCACCAGCGACATTCTGAATTCGAAAGAATGGCACGTACCAAACAAACCGCTCGCATGTCCACGGGTGGCAAGGCCCCTCGCAAGCGGCTTGCTACCAAAGCTGCTTGTAAGTCGGCCCCTGCCACCGGAGGTGTGAAGAAACCTCATCGTTACAGGCCCAGTACCGTGGCTCTGCGTGAGATCCGTCGTTATCCGTCGTTTGAGACCCGCACGTTGTCGTTCAAACACCTTGTTCGTGAGATTGCAAAAGACTTCAAGACCGACTTGCGGTTCCAGAGCTCTGCCGTAATGACTCTGCAGAAGTCTTGCGTCATGGTTCTGTATGAGGCATACCTCGTGGGTCTGCTTGAGGACATCAGCCTATGCCCCTTCAACGCCAAGCGTTTGACGATTATGCCCAAGGACATCCAGTTGGCAAGATGTATCCGTGGAGAGCGTGCCTAAGCGAGCTCACTTCTCATCTGGTTCATCCAGCGAAAAACAGCGATCACCGGCCCACGAAACGAACGGTCCTTTTCAGGACCAAACCGAGTTCCCTATTGATGCTGTTACTTTGCTGAGTTATGTGTTGTTGTCCCCCGCCCCACCCCACCTCTGTGTGTGTATTGATTATTGTTGTTGTTGTTGTTGGTTGTGCCTCCTTAAATATATAAAGCGCAAACCGCTGGCAGAGGCAGGTACAGAATGAGAGTGAGACCCGCTGCCCCTCTGTGTGTTGCCGCGTGTCAACTCGTGTGCTCCCTTGTGCTGTCGTGGGTCCCTTCCTCCGTGTGGTCAGTCGTGATATGGATACGGGTAGGGTTTGTTGATATTTTCTTGCTCCGGTTGGGATGTGTTGCGTTGCTTTGTGATTGTTGTGTCGTGGCAGTGATTTGTTATTGATGACGATCTGATTGGTTGTTCCCCGTAATTACTAATAACATGATTAGAATTAGAAGTTAACTGTCTGCTTCTCTATCTCCGTCTCTCCTTTTTCCTTTTACAAGTCTACAGTGCAGTGGAGAAACACGGACAGATGCACAGGGTGATATAGTAATAGTCCTAATGCATACAGAGCAGTTGTGTGCTGTATGTTTGTTCACAACAATAGAGTTGATGTTGGTGGCGGGCTGGGGGTGAAGGATAGGCGTACAAGTGTGAGCATGGGCTATGGGTAGTCAATTAGTGCGTATGTGTGTGCATGCACGTGTATCTCTCTCATTGTGTGTGTGTGTGTGTGTGTGTGTGTACACAAAGTGTGTGTGTGTGTGTGTACGTGTGTGTGTGTGTGTGTTTATGTCTGTCTGAAAAGCACCAAGACAGAACGGTGTCGTGTCATGACGAAACTTGAAAATAAAGCTGCAGAGGACCGGGCTCTCGACCAATCAGCTGCGACTCGACCCTGAATGGACCAATGGTGCGGCAGGGCACCCTTGGCGCCAAGATTCTCGGTCGTGGTCCCCTATATAAGCCTCCGCTGTTGACGGGAACCTCTAAGTATCACATTCTGAATTCGAAAGAATGGCACGTACCAAACAAACCGCTCGCATGTCCACGGGTGGCAAGGCCCCTCGCAAGCGGCTTGCTACCAAAGCTGCTTGTAAGTCGGCCCCTGCCACCGGAGGTGTGAAGAAACCTCATCGTTACAGGCCCAGTACCGTGGCTCTGCGTGAGATCCGTCGTTATCCGTCGTTTGAGACCCGCACGTTGTCGTTCAAACACCTTGTTCGTGAGATTGCAAAAGACTTCAAGACCGACTTGCGGTTCCAGAGCTCTGCCGTAATGACTCTGCAGAAGTCTTGCGTCATGGTTCTGTATGAGGCATACCTCGTGGGTCTGCTTGAGGACATCAGCCTATGCCCCTTCAACGCCAAGCGTTTGACGATTATGCCCAAGGACATCCAGTTGGCAAGATGTATCCGTGGAGAGCGTGCCTAAGCGAGCTCACTTCTCATCTGGTTCATCCAGCGAAAAACAGCGATCACCGGCCCACGAAACGAACGGTCCTTTTCAGGACCAAACCGAGTTCCCTATTGATGCTGTTACTTTGCTGAGTTATGTGTTGTTGTCCCCCGCCCCACCCCACCTCTGTGTGTGTATTGATTATTGTTGTTGTTGTTGTTGGTTGTGCCTCCTTAAATATATAAAGCGCAAACCGCTGGCAGAGGCAGGTACAGAATGAGAGTGAGACCCGCTGCCCCTCTGTGTGTTGCCGCGTGTCAACTCGTGTGCTCCCTTGTGCTGTCGTGGGTCCCTTCCTCCGTGTGGTCAGTCGTGATATGGATACGGGTAGGGTTTGTTGATATTTTCTTGCTCCGGTTGGGATGTGTTGCGTTGCTTTGTGATTGTTGTGTCGTGGCAGTGATTTGTTATTGATGACGATCTGATTGGTTGTTCCCCGTAATTACTAATAACATGATTAGAATTAGAAGTTAACTGTCTGCTTCTCTATCTCCGTCTCTCCTTTTTCCTTTTACAAGTCTACAGTGCAGTGGAGAAACACGGACAGATGCACAGGGTGATATAGTAATAGTCCTAATGCATACAGAGCAGTTGTGTGCTGTATGTTTGTTCACAACAATAGAGTTGATGTTGGTGGCGGGCTGGGGGTGAAGGATAGGCGTACAAGTGTGAGCATGGGCTATGGGTAGTCAATTAGTGCGTATGTGTGTGCATGCACGTGTATCTCTCTCATTGTGTGTGTGTGTGTGTACACAAACAGAGTTGTTGGTAGCAGACAAGGGCTGTCGAATGACCGTTAGTAGGGGTGAAAATCACAAAGACTTAACAGTAAGAGAGTGCGTGTGCACGCACGAGTGTTTATGAGTCACTCTCTCTCACTCACGCTCTCTCTCTCTCTCTCTCTCTCTCTCTCTCTCTCTCTCTCTCTCTCTCTCTGTGTGTGTGTGTGTGTGTGTGTGTGTGTGTGTGTGTGTTTACATAAATAGAGTTGATCTTGTTGGCGGGCAAGATTGTCCGGCGGTAAGGGTGAGAAACAAAAAGACTTAACAGGAAAGAGGTGAGTGCGTTGGTGTTCGTGCGTGTAAGCGTGCGTGTGTGTGTGCACTCGTGCGTGTGTGTGTGTGTGCAATCGCCCGCGTGTGTTTGTGTATGTGTGTGTGTGTGTCTGTGTACGTGTGTGTGTGTGTGTGTGTGTGTGTGTGTGTGTGTGTGTTTATGTCTGTCTGAAAAGCACCAAGACAGAACGGTGTCGTGTCATGACGAAACTTGAAAATAAAGCTGCAGAGGACCGGGCTCTCGACCAATCAGCTGCGACTCGACCCTGAATGGACCAATGGTGCGGCAGGGCACCCTTGGCGCCAAGATTCTCGGTCGTGGTCCCTATATAAGCCTCCGCTGTTGACGGGAACCTCTAAGTATCACATTCTGAATTCGAAAGAATGGCACGTACCAAACAAACCGCTCGCATGTCCATGGGTGGCAAGGCCCCTCGCAAGCGGCTTGCTACCAAAGCTGCTTGTAAGTCGGCCCCTGCCACCGGAGGTGTGAAGAAACCTCATCGTTACAGGCCCAGTACCGTGGCTCTGCGTGAGATCCGTCGTTATCCGTCGTTTGAGACCCGCACGTTGTCGTTCAAACACCTTGTTCGTGAGATTGCAAAAGACTTCAAGACCGACTTGCGGTTCCAGAGCTCTGCCGTAATGACTCTGCAGAAGTCTTGCGTCATGGTTCTGTATGAGGCATACCTCGTGGGTCTGCTTGAGGACATCAGCCTATGCCCCTTCAACGCCAAGCGTTTGACGATTATGCCCAAGGACATCCAGTTGGCAAGATGTATCCGTGGAGAGCGTGCCTAAGCGAGCTCACTTCTCATCTGGTTCATCCAGCGAAAAACAGCGATCACCGGCCCACGAAACGAACGGTCCTTTTCAGGACCAAACCGAGTTCCCTATTGATGCTGTTACTTTGCTGAGTTATGTGTTGTTGTCCCCCGCCCCACCCCACCTCTGTGTGTGTATTGATTATTGTTGTTGTTGTTGGTTGTGCCTCCTTAAATATATAAAGCGCAAACCGCTGGCAGAGGCAGGTACAGAATGAGAGTGAGACCCGCTGCCCCTCTGTGTGTTGCCGCGTGTCAACTCGTGTGCTCCCTTGTGCTGTCGTGGGTCCCTTCCTCCGTGTGGTCAGTCGTGATATGGATACGGGTAGGGTTTGTTGATATTTTCTTGCTCCGGTTGGGATGTGTTGCGTTGCTTTGTGATTGTTGTGTCGTGGCAGTGATTTGTTATTGATGACGATCTGATTGGTTGTTCCCCGTAATTACTAATAACATGATTAGAATTAGAAGTTAACTGTCTGCTTCTCTATCTCCGTCTCTCCTTTTTCCTTTTACAAGTCTACAGTGCAGTGGAGAAACACGGACAGATGCACAGGGTGATATAGTAATAGTCCTAATGCATACAGAGCAGTTGTGTGCTGTATGTTTGTTCACAACAATAGAGTTGATGTTGGTGGCGGGCTGGGGGTGAAGGATAGGCGTACAAGTGTGAGCATGGGCTATGGGTAGTCAATTAGTGCGTATGTGTGTGCATGCACGTGTATCTCTCTCATTGTGTGTGTGTGTGTGTGTAAGAGAGTTGTTGTTAGCAGACAAGGGCTGTCGAATGACCGTTAGAAAATCACAAAGACTTAAGAGAGTGAGAGTGCGTGTGCACGCACGAGTGTTTATGAGTCACTCTCTCTCACTCACGCTCTCTCTCTCTCTCTCTCTCTCTCTCTCTCTCTCTCTCTCTCTCTCTCTCTCTCTCTCTCTCTCTCTCTCTCTCTCTCTGTGTGTGTGTGTGTGTGTGTGTGTGTGTGTGTGTGTGTGTGTGTGTGTGTGTGTGTGTGTGTGTGTGTGTGTACGTGTGTGTGTGTGTGTGTGTGCACCCACCCGCGTGTGTTTGTATGTATGTGTGTGTGTGTGTCTGTGTACGTGTGTGTGTGTGTGTGTGTGTGTGTGTGTACGTGTGTGTGTGTGTGTGTTTATGTCTGTCTGAAAAGCACCAAGACAGAACGGTGTCGTGTCATGACGAAACTTGAAAATAAAGCTGCAGAGGACCGGGCTCTCGACCAATCAGCTGCGACTCGACCCTGAATGGACCAATGGTGCGGCAGGGCACCCTTGGCGCCAAGATTCTCGGTCGTGGTCCCCTATATAAGCCTCCGCTGTTGACGGGAACCTCTAAGTATCACATTCTGAATTCGAAAGAATGGCACGTACCAAACAAACCGCTCGCATGTCCACGGGTGGCAAGGCCCCTCGCAAGCGGCTTGCTACCAAAGCTGCTTGTAAGTCGGCCCCTGCCACCGGAGGTGTGAAGAAACCTCATCGTTACAGGCCCAGTACCGTGGCTCTGCGTGAGATCCGTCGTTATCCGTCGTTTGAGACCCGCACGTTGTCGTTCAAACACCTTGTTCGTGAGATTGCAAAAGACTTCAAGACCGACTTGCGGTTCCAGAGCTCTGCCGTAATGACTCTGCAGAAGTCTTGCGTCATGGTTCTGTATGAGGCATACCTCGTGGGTCTGCTTGAGGACATCAGCCTATGCCCCTTCAACGCCAAGCGTTTGACGATTATGCCCAAGGACATCCAGTTGGCAAGATGTATCCGTGGAGAGCGTGCCTAAGCGAGCTCACTTCTCATCTGGTTCATCCAGCGAAAAACAGCGATCACCGGCCCACGAAACGAACGGTCCTTTTCAGGACCAAACCGAGTTCCCTATTGATGCTGTTACTTTGCTGAGTTATGTGTTGTTGTCCCCCGCCCCACCCCACCTCTGTGTGTGTATTGATTATTGTTGTTGTTGTTGTTGGTTGTGCCTCCTTAAATATATAAAGCGCAAACCGCTGGCAGAGGCAGGTACAGAATGAGAGTGAGACCCGCTGCCCCTCTGTGTGTTGCCGCGTGTCAACTCGTGTGCTCCCTTGTGCTGTCGTGCTGTCGTGGGTCCCTTCCTCCGTGTGGTCAGTCGTGATATGGATACGGGTAGGGTTTGTTGATATTTTCTTGCTCCGGTTGGGATGTGTTGCGTTGCTTTGTGATTGTTGTGTCGTGGCAGTGATTTGTTATTGATGACGATCTGATTGGTTGTTCCCCGTAATTACTAATAACATGATTAGAATTAGAAGTTAACTGTCTGCTTCTCTATCTCCGTCTCTCCTTTTTCCTTTTACAAGTCTACAGTGCAGTGGAGAAACACGGACAGATGCACAGGGTGATATAGTAATAGTCCTAATGCATACAGAGCAGTTGTGTGCTGTATGTTTGTTCACAACAATAGAGTTGATGTTGGTGGCGGGCTGGGGGTGAAGGATAGGCGTACAAGTGTGAGCATGGGCTATGGGTAGTCAATTAGTGCGTATGTGTGTGCATGCACGTGTATCTCTCTCATTGTGTGTGTGTGTGTGTACACAAACAGAGTTGTTGGTAGCAGACAAGGGCTGTCGAATGACCGTTAGTAGGGGTGAAAATCACAAAGACTTAACAGTAAGAGAGTGCGTGTGCACGCACGAGTGTTTATGAGTCACTCTCTCTCACTCACTCTCTCTCTCTCTCTCTCTCTCTCTCTCTCTCTCTCTCTCTCTCTCTCTCTCTCTCTCTCTCTCTCTCTCTCTCTCTCTGTGTGTGTGTGTGTGTGTGCCGACA